TTTGAGGTGCTGGCTTAGGTTCCACCACAAATGCGCGAACAACAAAAGCGCGCCTGACTAAACCGCGCCAACAAAACCGCGCCGACGAATGAGCGCTGAAGCGCGCCGACAACAGCGCGCCAACAGAAGCACGATTTAAGTTAAGGTAAGGTTTAGGATTAGGTTTAGGGTTAGGTTTAGGGTTACAGCGCGCTTCTGTCGGCGCACTGTTGTCGGCGCGCTTCAGCGCTCATTCGTCGGCGCGGTTTTGTTGGCGCGGTTTAGTCAGGCGCGCTTTTGTTGTTCGCGCATTTGTGGTGGAACCTAAGCCAGCACCTCAAACTGGCTCTCTCTTCATTACTTATTAACATTTCCCCCCCCCTTTTGTACAGTTGTTAGTTGCGCAAAGTAATCCAACCAACATCCCAAACTATTTCCTTTTGTTTTTTGTCAACTGTCATTTCCTTGATCTTAGCTGTTTTGATGAGGAAGTGACATCTTGTGGAGGCATCCTGCGACTCGCCCACATTTCCGTTTGTGTCTCCTGATTTCTTGGAAAAAAGCACCACACCCGCCAGTAAAGTTAACCAGCGGCGCCAAAGTTTAGTTAAACCAACCTTATGTTCCTTCCTTCCCTTTTTAATAATCTTCATCTTCAATCCTTTCAAATAATCATTTAGGTGAGATGGGCAGTGTAGAAATTTGATAATCAATGTCTTAAAACCTGATTTCAGTTTTTACTTTGTCCCTGCTCACAAAATTCTTAGAAGGTTTAACAAGTCTCTTTTGTAAACCCAGTATAGGAAAGTTGTCCAGCTGACTCTTTTGCTGTTATTTGTACATCCTTTTAATTATTAAGAAATCAGTCATTTTCAGTTGTATATCTGGTGTAGCGTCTTTTTTCATATCATTCTTGTAGCCTTTGGTTTTAAAATCCACTTTCAGTTCTGCGTTGCTTTGTAAAACTTGTTCTCTCTTCCATAACATCTTGTAAACACAGTCTATCATGGCAGACACTTTTTAAAATTAATTTGGGTCCGTTGTTCAAAAATATCCCTCAATATTTTCAATATTAAGGTGTTTTGCTTCATTTTATATTAATAAGTAAAAATTGAGTGCTTTTCTCCTTTAATTGCACTTTAATCTCTACTTCCTCTGGTTCCCTCTAGTGTCCAGTTTTCAAAGTTCTATCTTTTTCCCCCCTAAGAATTCAAAACAGAAGCATTTTCCCATAGGAAGAATTCTTATAACTAATCCCCAAATCTTATTTTAAATCCATTAGTTAGTCCATTTGTAACTTTTGAAAATCAAAGTTCTGATCACCCTTTTTCTGTTTATTCCAAAATAATGGTGTTTTTAAAAAAATCCTTACACTTGTATTTAAAAAATTCGCCTGGTGCTCTAAAACTTGTTGGTCCACTGTTACTAATAGCTGAGAAGCAGTTAACAAACTCTTTCAAAAGCGATTAGAAAAGGAAGTGTGCAAACCCAACATCCTTAGAAAATATGTCAACTGTGGTTTGAGTGAAGATGGCTAAGTTCAGGGGTGGGATTTTGCTAATTTTACATTTGCTTTGCCAAACTGGTAGTTACCAAGAACCGGCGGGCCCCGCCTGTCTGCAAGGAGTATAAACCCTTCCATTCCCCCACATTCAGTCAGAGCGGAAGAAGCTTCTTGTATGAGAAGCAAAACGTCTTCAAAGAAAAACCAGAAAGTCCAGTTGCCTTTTCAAAAAGCACCTTTGGGACAACCATCATCTGGATGACTGAGGCTCTCCATAGACAAATACCCATTATAAATAACCAAGGACTTTTGGCTTGTGCCTATAAACTATTGATATGAGCAAAGCACCCTCTCAGTAAGGGAATTATAGCATTGGAAGACGCTCAAAGATCATCTTGATCAGGCCTTTGCAATTTGAAGGAAAACTAGTTAAACTCCTCTTAAGAAGTGGCTGTCCAGCTCTTACGATCAGGACAACTTTCCTTCAGAAGTTCAGCATAACATCTGGCTGCAGTGCAACAGATCAGTCCCCAAACTGGACAATATTCATCTGTGTCCAGTTTGGGGACAAGAAGAGAAGGAAAGAGGTGAGATATGCCAGTGTTAGTGCTTCAAGCACCGACAAAGTTAACCATAATATGTTTGTTATGGGTGAAGATGGCAGTAATGATCAAGATACAGAATTCAGGGTTTTACCTTTCCACCCAGACAAACCAGCCTTTTTGAGAGTAATCTTCCTCTAAATCAGGGACGCGGTGGCTCAGTGGCTAAGATGCTGAGCTTGTTGATCAGAAAGGTCGATAGTTCGGCGAGTCAAATCCCTAGTGCCGCGTAACAGAGTGAGCTCCCGTTACTTTTCCCAGCTTCTGCCAATCTAGCAGTTCGAAAACACGTAAAAATGCAAGTAAAAAAATAGGAACCACCTTTGGTGGGAAGGTAACAGCTTAGTCATGCTGGCCACATGACCACAGAGACATCTTTGGATAGCGCTGGCTCTCTTGAAAACGGAGATGAGCACTGCTCCCTAGAATTGGGAACGACTAGCACATATGTGTGACATATGTAGCACATGTTTACCTCTAAATCAGTATCTATCCCCTCCCCCTGTATTTTACAGATCAATATTTAGCAAAGTAAAAACATAACTAGAACTTTTTTTTTACTTAAGATAGTTTAATTATTTCTTAAATAAAAAACCCCACATTTATTTATTTTTACTTTTTAAATACAAATAGGTAGAAAAAGGGAATGGATTAGGTGGTGGAAGATCTTGCTTCATTGCTAGTACTCCACTAGCTGCACAAGGGACCAACTGGGGGAATGAAGTGGTCAAAGGAAAGAATCTTCCCATAAAGGGTCAAGGAAGATTTGTGCAAAATATGCTGGGATTGTCCATGTTGGGTCCAGAGAGCAAATAAGGGCAAATCCAAGCTGGATGAAACAGTTCTTTGGATTTCCATTCTGTTGCAACTCCATCCTGTCCAAGCTTTGCTCCTTCAGATGCCTCAATTCACCACAGCCAGTGATTCTCCTTCCTCCAAATACTGGGAGTTGCTTGGATTCACCCCTGTTAATCCTGAAATCGCAACATTATCTGTAGGAGAAACGCAATTCATTAGCCAGAATTTTTCCACATGCCCTCCCCCCCATTTTAAAAAAAAGTATAGTCAGTCCTCGACCTACGACCACAATTGAACCTAAAATTTCTGTTGCCAAGTGAGAGAGTTAAGTCAATTTTGCCCCGTTTCACCACCTTTCTTGCCACAGTTGTTAAGTGAATCAGTGCAGTTGTTAAGTTAGTCACACAGTTGTTAAGTGAACCTGGCTTTCCCATTGACTTGGCTTCTTGGAAAGTGATCACATGACCCCGAGATACTGTAACCGTCATAAATCTGAGTCAGTCGCCAAGGGTGTGAACTTTGGCATGGCCATGGTGGCGCCGTGGTTAGAATGCAGTACTGCAGGCTACTTCTCCTGAACTGCTGGCTGCCAGCAGTTTGGTTTGACTCAGCCTTTTGAGGTCAGTAAAATGAGGACCCAGATTGTTGGGGGCAAGGTGTTGACATTGTAAACCGCTTAGAGAGGTCTGTTAAGCACTGTGAAGAGGTATATAGCACTTGCGAGTGAAGCGAGCAAGCACAAAGTGTGTGCTGAGCAAACCAGTAGGATCCCACCCCTGACCAGTGACGTGCAGTGAGGTTTATGGCTGGTGAGGCACTGACACGGGTTTCAAATTTGTTTAGACTTGTGGACTTCAACTCCCAGAATTCCACAGCCAGGCATGCTCAGTTCCGATTTAAAGCGACAGCATTTGTTTTTCTCCTTTGCGAAAAAGTTTTACTTCATTCTTTTTCTTCTCCCTCCCCCTCCCTCTCTCCCCCGTCTCTCAAACAGACACACGCACACAGAAAAGTTGGATCCCTCTCTCTCTCACTCACTTTCAAACAAACACAAACACAGAAGTTGGATTGGATATATTTTCCAATGGCTTGAAAGCAGCTCCTCTGCCATATCCCCCCCCCAAAAAAATTCCCCTGCTCCTTCCAATCCGAGCCTTTGATTGCAGGTGGAGCCACGTTGCCTTTTCAAACTTGTAATCAGTGAAGTTGGGCTTATATACTTTTATTCAGCTGTGTATGTGTGTGTGTGTGTTTGAAAAGGCAACGTGGCTCCCCCTGCAATCAAAGGCTC